GTTTATGGCATAATGCTGTGCCGTGGATGACATATCCAGCTCTTAGTTCGGAACTGCGTTAGCTTCAGTCAGCCTATGTGCTATACATGGCACATATGGAACATTTGGCAAAGGAGTAAAATATTTCATTTATTCTTATTTGTTTTAATTACAACATCATAAAATCTAATTAGACTTTGAGTGAATTATGCATGAGGATATTAATTCTTGAGTTGCAATCAGTGTCAGACACTTGTAGTTTCATTTGCAGAGACAGACAAGTTTGTGTGATGCCACTTAAAAATAATGGATTTCAGAGAAAAATTTTGGCATCACACTTTCCATTTCATTTGTACTTAGTAGTGTAGCGACGCGGTAAACTGGGAAATAGGCAGTGTACGGCGCTGCTATGATTTCAACCACATTCGATTCTCGGCACGAGTTCGGATGCGGTGCCTTGGGTGGTTGCGTTTGGGTTGCGGTGAAGGTGACATCAGTTTGACTCTGAGTTTCACATGTCAACACTGAACTGAATCGAATTGAAGTCAAGATGGTTTTTAGTTCACTGCAAATGTGTAGTTCGGCTGTGTGAATTTCTTCTACTCTATTTTCACATATGCAAATTTCAAGTAAATCAGTATCAACGCCTTCCCTACCATTTTAAATGGAAACGAAAATACAATTTAACAAAATGAATTCGTGCAGATTCATCTTAAAATGTAGCATTTCAAAAGCTTTGATACTGAATTGTATAAATTAAATTAAATTCGTAGTAGTCAAATGTGCTATTAATGCATTTCGAATAGGTTTTTAAGTGCTGTGTATGCAGCAAATAAATTCATTTTATTTTAAAATAATTTTATAAAAACGAAAAAATAAAAATGAGAGAAAAAGTAAAAAAGAATTATTTATGCAAATACTTTTTCAATTTACGAAATCTTAAATCAAAATTGGCAGATATTAGGGATCTCATTCTCGCCATCTAACAACTTTTCAAAAATTCGCAGCACTAAAGATTCTATTTAATGTATAAAAATTAGGCAAGTGCTTTATTAAAGATCTGACAGCTGCCAGGACTACGACCCTTATCAAGAGGTAATCGGGTTAAGTGAAAAGTTTGGAAAGTGCAAAAATTTCCACGATAAGCAAATAAAAGGGCAAATGTATCTATGGAACTGTTGGCGTGAACGAACAATAAATAAAATGTTAAATTCACAAATTATTAAAAATTGATATGTAAATGGATGTTAAAAAGTTTTTCCCCCTTTTGTTTAAAATCGGTTGAAGGCTATTTCGGCGAATCTTCTCTACAATCTAATGTGGTGACTTATTTAAAATAATTTCAATTTTTTAACTGTATTATTTTTTCAGCAAATATAGTAAATATTTTTGAGTAATTTTGGAAAATTAATAAGTGTTGAAAATAGCAAAATACCATTTTCCTTATTAGCTGTCATTGATGTCCGTGACCATTATTAAAAAAATATTAAAAAAGTAGTAAAAAGTATATATTTGCTTTAATGTTTAATATACACATACAAAGCTTCTTTTAATTTTTTTCTGCTGATTATGTGAAATGGGATCTCAGCCAGATGACATTCAAGTCTGACGGCTTAAGTCTTCTCAACTCATTCCTAAGAGGTGAAGAGGTGGTTTTAGTAGGTTTAAGTCTCACACTGTAGCTTTTGATGCTTTTCATCTACTGTACAAAAGAAAATATATGAGAACTGTTTAATAAGTCAGTTCTAACTGCACTTCACGAATTTCAATATATTTTTAAAAGACTTTTCTTACAATCTGACAATATTTTATAGCTTAATTCTAAAATATATCTTTGATATAGGATCTTTTTCTGTTTTGACAGATCTTTGTAACACATAAGCTTTGATAAATTCATAAAAACGGAGAAAGAATAATTTCAAGTACTATTTAAGTATAATTTACAAAAAAAAAAAAGAATTTCTGAAACAAAAAGGATTTCTAAAAGCCAATATAAAGACTCTAAATCACAACATGGAATTATTCAGAAGTGGTTTTCTGAGTTGCGTTGAAAGTAGTTAGTTATGATGGGGAACTAAAATTAGACATTATACGAGTATATAGCTACCTTTGGTCTTAGCCAAATATGCTGACCGTCCAAATGAGGTAATAAATCTGGATCTGGATATGGATATGATGAATATGGAAGACCAAATGTAATAGTAGAGAACTTAAGTGCACATTTTTATAATGTTTTGCATATAAGAATGTATTCATATGACAAAGTTGTCATCCTGAAGTAGTTTTTGCAAATCTTCCATAAGTGTTTATGACATGCTGCTTTTTCTTATTTAATGAAAAAAAAAGAAGTTGTAAGTCATCGTTTGCTGATAGAAATGCATGGTTTTGATCATTTAAAAATGGTGAAAGCTTGGTAGACCACAAAAGCGCGAGGAGAAGTTATTGGATGATGACCCAATTCAAACTCAAAAGCAATTGGCAAAAGTATTAAATATACTATGACTAAAAAACAATTATAGACGCTTACGAACAATGGAGAAGATTAATAATTTGCTAAATGGGTCCTACGCGGTTTGAATGAACGCCAAATGGAAGATCGCAAAATCATTTGAGAAATGCTGCTTCAATGTCATTAAAGAAAATCAATTTTGTATTGAATTGTCACGGAGAACGGAAAATTGATTTATTTTGAAAATAAACCAGACAGAAAAAATCGGGACTTTCACCAAGCGAAGACGGTCCTTTAAAGCAAAGGCCGCATCGCTTCGGCAAGAAGATTATGCGCTATGTCTCGTGTGACTAAAGTTGCATTGTGTATTATGAATTCTTGAAGCCTGGTGAAACCATTACTACACAAAGCTATCGTCAACATATACTTAATTTAAATTACGTATTGATAGACAGGCAACCAGAATGGGTTAGAAGACATTGGCTTAGTGATTTGTTACACAGCAATGTTCCATCTTATATAGCAAAATCAGTGAAAGACACACTTTAAAAACGTTTCGTTAGAACATCTCTTCGCAACCGTCGTACTTTTCCGAACGGCTGCCATTTGTCTATCACTTCTTCGCATCAGTGGAGTATAGGTGTCATAGAGCAGCACTACAGCAATTCTGAAGAAGTTGGACAATAGCTTGACGAATGGTTTGCCGTAAAAAACAAGCAGTTTTTCTGGTATGGTTCTTATAAATTACCTGAAAGATAAGCGAGATGTGTAGAACGCGATAGTTAATTAAAATTAGATTTTAAAACGGGTTGGGAATTCCTTACCACTACACTGCATCCTTCGAAGATTATTGTAACATACCCCTTTTAGTTCCATAGACGAGTAGCAGTTAAAAACGCCATTATGTCCTTTAGAGAGATGTTGCCTCATTTCGTTATAAGTGGATAGGCAGTGAATAAGTACCGAAGTCTGAGTCTGGCGTGACTATCACAGTGACACAAAATGTGTTCTTCGCAACAAAGTCTGCAGCTATCGTCTCTAGTAATACCTAGGTTCGGTAGATGTTTTTTAACTCTGCAATGCCCAGTGAGAAACCCTGTGAAAAGTAGGATGCCACTCCTGTTCAGCATAAGCAGCTTCCTATTTCTGGCTTTTGATTGATACGGCATGGATTCTTTAGCTTGCCTGCAGGCAATTGTATTATCCCAATCAGTTTGAATTTCTTTTTCCAGCCACTCACTAATTTTAATTTTGAAAAAGCTGCATGAAAGACCACAGAATGAATGTGGCTCAATATAATATGAGGCCGTCCCTTTTCTGGCTAGTTCATCTGCTTTTTCGTTTTCCTTAAATCTGTTGTGCCTTAGTATCCATATTAAGTGAACTATGTTCCTTTCAGCAAGGTCTTTGAGAAGTAAAAGGCATTCCCACGAACGCGATAGTTAATATTTTGAATAAAAAAAAAGAAAGAACTTATACATGCATTATATATGTAGAAAAAAAAGAGTAGCTTTGAAAAAATTAAGAATAGGCGAACCCAGAAGTTAACTTTCAATTCGTTGAACTTGTGTTTCCAAAATAAAGCTGTAGTTTATAAGCTCGTTCTAATTTAAAGTGCTTTGGTTGGTTGGTAAGTGCTTTGGTTGGTGTCACTAATTAAATAAAAATAAGTGACAATAAAACCTGGAACTTGAGCATTTTAAGTTTGTGCAGCCTTGGCTTCTTGTGGATAAACACGATTAGTCATCGCTTCTAATTTGACAGGCACGAGTTCTAAGCCTGGCACTTGCAGTCCAAACAAATTATATACGGACTATAAACTAATTAAATAAAAATTCGATTATTCCAAAGGCCACTGATGATGAGTACTTGGCAATACTCGAAACAGCGTTGTATGGTCAGCCAAACTTCAATAAAATTAAAATAAATTTTTGTGTTTATCCTTTATTTCTTTCTTTGCTATTCAAAATTCCTCTAAATATGTAGATAACAACATAAAATAAGAATAAAAAATAAAAATCAACTTACAAGTTTTTTATTTAAAGATTTACATAAGTCTCTTTAAAAGCAGAAATAATAATAAAATAAACAATATTCTAATCTAAAATAAAATAAATTTTTCAATGCTTAAATTTTGTGTTATAGATATTAATAAAGATTTGAGATTTTAAACAAGTATTATTTTTTAAAATAAATGTTATATCTAAATAAAATGTTTTAAACAATTAAAATGGTAAAAAGACACAATTTAATTTCTTAATTATTAAAAATTTAATATGTAAACAACTTTAAAATTAATTATATAAAAACAAACAATTTTTTTTTATGTATGGAAACAAAATCTAAAACATAGACTCCACACTTCAAAATCAAAACAAAATATGCTTCTTTCCACTTGTTGTAGTATTTCCCACACATCACAACTCTGCACAAGTGTTCAAACCAGAAACATAGAAATATAATTCTATGTTTTTGCTTAAGCTTCGCGCTCAGTTTCTCATTTCATATTCAGCACTTCGCTGTCTAATAAGTTTGTTGCTTGATCTGCTCGAAACAAGTCTTTTGTTTTGTCAGTGCGAAGCAGAGATCAGTTCATCAAAAGTTGTTCGTGGATTGAGTCGTGGTTGCGTACGAAAAGTTTGAAACGGTTTTTACGGTAAACTGTGCAAAACGGGAAAGTTTTATTGAACTTATGAAATTCAATTTGAATTTTAAATATTTTACTCTACAAAAGTAATTATCATTTTATTTATTTTTGATATATTAAGAATAAATGTGAAATTATATAGTAAAAGAAATATTAGTGAAATATTTCGATTTCAAGTATTAAAAAAATAGTAATAAAAATTATTATGCAAATAACCGGATCTCTAGCTAAGATCTATTTATTCAGTGTTTGTTGAAAATAGTGAAAAATATCTATGTATGTGTGTGTGAATATGTGTGGTTTTGCATATGCACGAGTACACGACACACTCGAAATGGGTGTAGTGCGCATTGTTTTGCCGTTCATGTGTTCTCTGTTTGATGATAAGAAAAAGAAAATAATGAAATTAAAAATAAAAAAAAAATACTTAAAATATTATTAAATCTAAGAATAAAAATAAATAAACATTTTTTTTGAAATAGTGAAGAAATTTATTAATAATACTTGTTTTGGGCAGTTTCGTTGTTACGCAGTCACGGGAAATTGCGCCATTCACCCATAAATGAGAAAAGAGAAATCGACCCCGTCTCCGTCTCCGTTTCCATTCACTAGTGCAAGTTAAATTTTCTTTTAAGCGACTTTTTGTTTTTATTTTAAAATATTTTTAGTTTTTTTTTTAAATATTTACTTTACTGCAAATGAAATTCGCGAATGTCAGTGCATTAAGAGAAAAAGAAGAAAAATCCATATAAATGGATTTGTGTATCTACGGGACTCACATGGAAGCACTCACCTGGGGCAACGCCCGCCGCAACGATAATAATTCAGTTTTAATTAAAATATTCATCAATGTTTGTTTATGAAATTTTGATGAATTATATTTTTATTTTACGAATTAAAATAAATAGTTCCAATTAAATTACCGAATAAAAATAATAAGAATTTATTATGTATTAGTTAATGTTAATATTAATAATATTATATAAAATCTCAATGAAACAATTTGCATAAACATTTCATAATTTCAACTTCAAGTGATTTAAAATAATTAATTAATTTATAGTAATTTTTAGTATATTCAAAAATATTAAATATTTTTACAAAATTAAACATAAACTGCTCAATTAGAGTTAATAGTTGAAATAATTTTCAAAATAAATATTTGAATTTTAAATATCAAAAAAAAAGTCAAATTACGTGGTAAAATGATACCATTTGTTAAAAAAATAGACAAATTTGTCCATTGATTAAACTAACTATAAATAGAAAATTAATTAGATTGAGTAGGACTAAGATCGGTGACTTTATTTCTATTCTAAACGTTTATTATCTAATAAATAGGCACGCACAGCGATTAGGAGGAAGAGAAAAAATTATTAAGCTTATTTACTGGGTAAATAACTAAGTAGCAATTAGCTGAAAACAATAATTACTTATTTACTTACTTAAATGGCCATAAGAATCCATTACCCGGTTTTGGCCTGACGCAGCATTTTTCTCTGTGTTTCTGCTACATATGTACTCACCTTCTCCATTCTCGTGTATTAAGTGCGGTTAGTGCTTACTTAGCTTAATCACTTCACCGGAGACAGTGTCAACCTCGACGTCTTCTTCCTTCAACTACTGCTTTCTACTACTGCTTTAAATTGCTTTTTCAGTGGAGCATCGTCATTCAATGAACACATTTGTAGGATATTCTGCCATTACAATGAACACCACCTCTCCATGATAAAATTAAAAAGATCAGATGATATGAGATCACGTTGTCTTAAGCCTTGCATGGTATCAAAAGACTAGATCCTACCTTGACTGAACTGTAGGTACTGCACACTCGTTTTAACTTAGCAGAGATACTAGGCTTAGGCATTGCGGTGTACAGGCGAGTCCTTATTGGTCTAACAGTGAGTAGAGTTTTTATATTTCACACAATACTGTTGAAAGGACTTTGTACGCGACAGATATTAGGCTGGTCTCGTGATAGTTGGATTGAAAATAATTGGTAAAACTTTTTTCAATATCAGGTGCTTTATAAAGAATTATGAGTAACATTAGTGTAAGGAATTTATGTAAGATATAGGCTTTAATGTGGTATATAGTATCTAATACCTCTAGAAAATTATATATTATAGTATGTGCCTTGCAATATGATGCAAACGATGCAATGGATAGGCGGAAGCGTAAGAGTTACATTATATGAAGAGGAAGAGGAAGCAATTTAGGGCTACAATTTTTAGCAAATGTTTTATAGTTATGGGTTACTTTATAAACAATGATTTTAAAGCAAGGTAGAGGAAAGAATTCTAAAGTATACATTTATTATAGAAAAAAGCAAATTTAATAAGAAGATAGGCCCTAATTATTATTAAAGCTTTCATCGCTATGTGGCGCTTTATAAAAGAAGCATTTTATATTAGGAGGAGGAGGAAGAATGATCAATAATTCTTTTCTTATTGTGAAAATAGCAAGATGTAGCAAAAGGCTAGGCTACAATTATATTGATAAACTTTCGTTATGTGACATTTTATAAGGAATGTTTCTTATATCAACTAGGCTACGGATATATTGGTAAACTATTTAACTATCGGTATGGGGTGCTTCATATAGTTTAAAGAAAACAAATTGTTTAAAGTGAAAGTAGAAACCAGTTTTGCATAAAACTATATAATATGTAACAACAAATCATTAGAATCTTTTATATAATATAAGTTAACTTGTAGCCAGTCATTGTCTAATGACCAGTTTGTAAGAAATTTAAAAGTATTTTATAACAAAATAATTTGTTTAACACTTAAACCAGGAATGTAACTTATTTAAACACAATGATTAGGTTGAGTATTAAAGGGGGGATAAGAATCCTAGGATATACCTAGCGTGTGTGACACACTAATATATAACCTTTATAGGTTAGAATACAGAATATGATATATATATTCTAAATAAACTTAAAATAGAAAGTAATCAAATCATTAAGAATTTCATAGCTATAATAATAAGTTTATTTCCCATAAAATGAAATCTTATGAAGTGCGTTAATTTATTTATTTTCCATTCTACCTAATTCTACCCAAATCTAGATTTATAGTTTATAATTAATAGAGCAGAAAAAAACGCACTGTTACTAATATCGTGTAATGAATGTGAAAGTTTCCAAAAATAAAATGTTGTTTAAAAAAAGTTCAAAGTTTTATTTTAATATGCGATTTATTTAAGATTTTTGCACTTAATATGCTCTGCATGGAATCGTGATAATTAAAAAATTTAGCATTTATACATATTAGAGATGTAAAATAATAATGACTCAGCATTCTAAATCTTTAAATCTTAACTTTATTTTAAAACACTTATTAAAGAAGGGTTTTAATTGGTGCTAAATTTCTAAATATTTTGCTAAATGCTGAAATATTTTCTCAAAAATAAAGGCCACAAATCTATTTTTAAGTCATATATATGACTATATATACTATGATTTATCATTATGATTTAGTTATCACTGACTAACCATCGTCTGCATTAAAATGTTTAATTGATTTGCTTAATGTAGCCTTAAATATTCAGAAAAATTACTAAATCAGCACTGCAACAAAAGCTTCATCGATTGTCGCAATATTTATGTCAGCCTTTATCGATAAATACCATAATTATTTAGGATTTTTACTATTTACTGCAGCAAAATATATCGGTTTCTCTATGAGCTTTCGTTGTACTAAATCTTATGGAGCAAGTTTAGTAATGAAGTACGTATGACTTTAAGCAATTTATCTTGCAAAAGTATTGCTTGCTACAAGCATTAGGCATTATTTTATCTAATTATCCAATTGTTTGCTGACAGAGCAAGCAATAAATAACTCACTTTTTTGCATTTGCTGTCATTATATCTCTTTCCAGATTGTGAATAAAAATAAAGACTTCTTTTAGTTTTCCATTTAAGCAAGAAAAAAAAATTTAAAAAAGTATCTATGCAAATTTTTTTTTATCACATTATTATATATAATCGTCATATAATAGCAACACTTGACATTGTCTCTTATAATATTACTTTTATTATTGCTCGAAAACGTATTTACATGTAATATTTGTATAAAAGAAAATGATATATATTTAAAAATTATAGAAAGAAAATCTTTTATTTTTTCCAGTTTTTTTCCGGTGCAATATTACTCTCAGAAAAACTATTACACTCAGCTAAAATTTTTCTAAAAAAATGATCAGGTCAAAGCCAAAGTTGGGCTTCATTGCATTGGGACTATAAGACTAACTTTATGTCTTCAATAATTTATAGCAAAATGACAAATAACTTTATAAGTCTTAATAAATTAACTGTGCCTTGCTCTGTCAAACTTTTCGCAAGACAATAATCATCAAGAAAATTGTTGGGATTAACAAGCGCCTGGGTTCCATTATAATAGTACTTTAGGACTTAATTTATGTATTCAATCATCTATAGCAAACTATATATAAAGCTTATAAGTTTCAGTTAGTCACCTATGCCTTGCTCAGTCAAAAGTTAACTACTAACAGGAGAATTTATCATCAGGGAATATGTTAAGACTCATATGGGTCTGAGTTCCAATATAATAGTGCTGTAGGACTTACCTCATCTTTTCAAAAACATTTTGTAGAATAATAAAGCAACTAATAAGTTTTATTCAGGCAACTGTGGCTTGTTCTGCCATGAGTTAACTCTCCATAGGACAGTTTATCGTTATCCCATACCTTCATCTTGACAGGGTCTCTTTATAAAGGTGCATTGTACTTATATGAAAGAATGTTAGATAGAATCAAAAGGGTCAATAATTTATTTTTAATTAATATGATTATGAAAGTTTGGTATCCCTGCTTCCAGTTGAATTAATTGTAACTTTTCAAATGCTTTCATAAAGACTAGTAACTAATATATGATTTGAGAGTTTAAAAGATCAACTGATAATATAAGTACTCTAAATATTTTATATTATTAGATAGAGAGATAGATAGAGAGATATGAGTAAATTAAGTAAATATCTATATAAAATTTATTACAACTGAAATTATAAGTTATTGATAAAATTGATATTGACAGTTGATTGAAAACAGAAGAGCTCTGGTTACCCAAAAAGCGAGGTGTAATTTTTAATTATTTCAGCGTTTAGTTTCATTTATTTTGTTTATGTTTTCAATTACTTATCCAAATTAATTTATTTTCAAATTTCAAATTTAAATCAACAGAAAATATTTTGAAAATTATTTTGGTGCGAAAGTGAAAACTGCGATGCAGAATGTGTTTTTGTAGTGCTGCGCTCGCGGAAAACCGCAGAAATAATAAATAAACTTCACCGACACAAATTCAAATTCCGCTCACATGTTTTTCGATAGAAACTAGAAACTCGGCGAGGTTTTGAATAATAATAATAATGAGGTATTGAAATTTATATTTACATATGCATAAATATTTGATGCGGGGAGTAAACATAAAAATAATTGTTTTTTTTTTTGTAATTTAAATTAAGTAATTGATTAAGCTCATTCCACGCACTCGTTTCATTTAATTACACTTTCGCTTTAATTACTTTTCCGATTTTGATTTTTGGGTGCCTAAACAAACTTCATTTTACCTGTGCATTGTATGTTTATTAGTTTAATTTGGTTCAAAATTAGTTACTTAATAGTTTTTAAGTGAGCTTAAAAGTTCTTTCGTCAATAGCAATATTTGCTATATAAATAATTTTCCTAAATTTTTTGGTAAACCGTTGAAAAGATTCTTTTAAGTTTACCAAAACAGCTATTATGTTTACACCGTTATTTCTATTTCTATATTTAATAATTTTATGATTTATGATTTTATAGAAAATTTTATGCAAATAATATTTATTCTATCTCGAATTTAAGCCAATTTCATCCATATGCCACCTGAAATGCCTAGATGTACAATACATCTCAATATAAATATTCATGGTATTACTTTGAATATTGTGAAACTAGATTAGCTACTATTATACTATTATTTCTCAGACTGTGCTCAACGAAGCGCTTAGCTAATAATAAAAAAATTATCAAGTGTCCGCATAAAAATATGTTTTTTACGTAAGAATAATAATGGAGTATATAACTGCGATATGAAAATCGCAGTACTCTGAGTTGTTTACGTTTCCAAAAACACCACATGACTGACCTAGTTTGCGAACTTCTGATATAAATATGAACCTCTGGTATAAAAGTGAAGTTCCGGTTTAATTTGTGAGCCTTGGTATAGTTTAAAAACCAAATATCAATATTAGAATGATACAGGAAATTTCATTTCACTTTTAGACTCAATCTTGACAAGCACAAAGACAGTGATAGAATTGTCATCACATTTCATATACAGATCATATTCTGTCATCGCAGGTATTCCAATCTTATTGAGGTTATAGAGTAGGTGGTTAAGATATACCATTAAGTGCCCTCACATTCCAAGTCAAACCAATATTTTGTCACCTAAGACAAACCCATCTTGTTACGATTGTAGTACAGGTTAAAAAGTGTAGTCAAAAAATACACCAGTAACGAAAAATAAAGACCAACATTGTTTGTGTTTGTTTTATTAATAGTTTGGAAATATTATGCATTGAGACTTAGGTGCTCTATTGTCCTAACAAAAGTTGTGTTAATAGATCCTTACTTTTAAAATACGTGACCACGGTTTTAAATTATTCAATGCGCTAAGTAAAGCAACAAAAAAGGTTAATAAGAAAGAGAATTTAAATTCGCTTAGATCATTTCATTATACGTTTGCAGAGATAGATAATCCTTTTTGAAATGGTACTTCAATGTGCAGTGTTCTGTCAGAAAGCTTATAAGTATGTTAATAAACAATCTGCTCAATGTAAACAGTCTTTTCAAATTGTCATGCATGAGTTGAAGAATCTTTTAATTAGTATTCGACTTTTATGGTTCACGCAGTGGTCAATTTTACTGACGACTAATAATGTCGTCCTAATTAATTAAAGTCTGACTTAGCATTTATTTGTTTTCTTCATGCCATGGTCTCTAGCTCAAAGTAACTCAGTTGCTGTGTCCCAGTTCATAGGTCTGAGGCTATAGGATATGCAAACTAATTTTGATAAATTTTAAGACCAATCAGGTAACACAATGGACCTATAAGCCTAAGTGGATCCCTTGGAATCACCGGTATCACCTAGATTTTAAGCCTTATCAGGTAGTTAGTTTGTCAATCAGTATGTTGATAAACATTTTTATTGCATTCTTAGATATTTTTTAATGGAGTGCATGTGTGTCAATTTTTTTAGTAGTAATTAAATGTATTTAATATGAGTTATACTGATCTTTTTTGGAGTAAATCTAATACGATTTCTTAATACTCTTTTATGAGTTTGCTGTTTTTTTATATATTTTTATTTTTATATATTTTTTATGCATTTTATTATATTTTTTATGTATTTCATTATTAGTTTATACTATTCAATTTTAATTGTTAAAAGTATCTTTATGTTTGATGCAAATTGTTTCATTAATTCAGTTTTGTGTGTTTAATAACGAAATAAAATGTGACCAAGCGATTATAATTTATAACAAATTTTTAATGAAATTTTATGTGAACCAATTAAATAAACTGAAAAAGCATAAATTGTGGTAATTAAAACAAAAATTTAAAAAGGTTTTATAAATGAATCTGAAATTGTGAGTTGCGAAATTCGAAATAAACATAAGTGACTTTAAAGGTAAACCGCAAAAAAGCTTCAATTGCAGTAAAATGTATCTCATCGCTACATTGTCTGGCGAGTATGGAATTGTTGAAAATGTGTAATATGTTTAATCGATTTTTTTATATTATTTGGAGCGTCAATCAAAATTACTTTTAGTATTTCGTCAACTGTTAAAATATTTACCAATGAATGTCAAAAACTCATTATAAAATTTTATTTCGACAATAATTTTTTTTTTGCGTGAATTTTGCGGGAGTTTGAATTATTTAGTTTCGTCAAACGGAAAAAGTAGCAAAAATTTATATGCTCGTTAACACATTTTGCGGTTAAATACGCTTCCGAAATGATGTGTCGGATTGATATGCGTGGCAGTTGCTGTTTCGGTTGCGGCTGAGATGTTGAAATGCGATGCGCGCCACTTCGACTCAGCGCGGTGAACTGCAGCAAACATTGTCATAACATTTTGAATCGTTACAATCGTTGCAATCGCTGTAATATCGAAAACGGTACACCAAACAACCGCCCTTTATGCTGCAACACACTCAGCAGAAGCCCTTTGTAGCGCATACAGCATGCAATTCGCGTTGCATCTGACAGATACAGCAAAACATGTACAGTGCAATTGCTCGTAGCGTTTAACTCACACAATCACGTGAACATACACAGATACGAACGAACGCTGTTATTCATACACAATTTTACTCTTGTATGTATAAATTTTTAATTAAATTTTCGTTGCTTCCCTTTCCTTGGTTCGGTGCAGGTTTCGCGTGGGCAGTTGATTAAACAATGGATGATTATCACTGTAGGCCTTTTAAGAGGTCATACAGTGGATGTCGGTGTCAACCAGCAAAATGCAGCTTATTTATGGCAGTTATTGCGGTCGGAATAGCAGTTGTTTTTATTAAGCCAGGTACGTGTCAAGTTTGGTTCATGCTTTGCTATTATTATTTGCCTCACATGTTTCATGTCTCATGTTTCATGTTTCGTGTTGCTCACCATTCCTACTCCACACATTTAGCGCACATGACATATTTCGCTGTGCGTTCTTTGTGAGTTTTAAGCCACCCGTTTTGATTTATTGAATGAAAAAAGTTTGGAGCTGTGACAAGTGGTTTAATGAAATCAGAACTTATGAAACTGCTTTGTTCAATTATTAAATTAAAAATATAAACAAAATCATAAAACAAAAACTATAAAATGCTCAGTCATGACTTTTACATTTTACCTTTAGACGAGTTATTCTCGTTTTTTCATTTTCAATTAATAAAAATATTTATGCCACTCATTTCCATTTAAAATATTGCCTGAGTTGCGAATCTGTTAACTCAGAGTTATTAGCTCTTTTTTATAGATATTTTTTTTTGTTTTTTAAATTTAATTTAAATAATTATTACGAACAATTAATGCATCTTTTTTTTATACCAGAATTTATTTTAAATTGCTTTAGCAAATAAGTTTTTCTTTATGCGAACTTTTTTGTTTAATTGAATATAAATGCTTTCTGTGATGGACTGAATTTTTGAGGCGACTGGGGGAGAGCATATTTTTAAAAACTCTTTTCAAACGTTTAGTAGTATGTACATTTAACATATATATTTTGATTCAAATTAACCAAATTATGAGCACTTAAAGCAGTGTTTCCCAACCTGTTTTTGAACAAGGATCACTACGATATTTTTGTTTTGAGTAGAAACCACAAAGTTTAAGAATAATAAACTGTATGATTATTTTAATATGGTATAATGCGATCTCTGGTATAATGTGTAATGAATCGTGTAAGTGCATATGTACATTATATAGGCTATAAAATAGATATATAATCATTTGGAAAGTTTTTGTGCTTATTTTCTAGTAACTGAGGTCTCAGTGGATAAACTACAAGCTATGTATCCATACCTGGTAAATTTGATTCATGGACCATTTTTAACAATCCCGTTGGGAACATCGGTTAGGAACCACTGCTCTAAATTGACAAAGCTGATTGATTAAAAGTAGATTACAAAACTTAAAAATTATAAACGCTTGGGATAAACGCTTCTATCTTATATAGAAGATATTGAGACCACAGCTAGAATAAGGAACAGCAGATTTGTTCATCTCAAAAACGGTGCACAAATAGCTCAAGTTATACCGATATTTTTAATGCAATAAAATTTCTCAAAAATTATTTTCGTGCTTAAAATGGTGCAGAAATTTTAATAATCAAAATGTATTTGTTTTAAATTTTTGATCTAGTTAATCTTTAGTAAGTCTTTTGTCTGTCGTGTACAGATTTTCTGTAATTGTCTTTTGAAAATAGGTATCCGGTTTTCATTCCGATAAAAATCTTCAGAATGGTTTACCCAAATATCTTGAGTGATTCTGTTAATTTTAGCCCATTAATTGTTCTTTAATGATAAGTTAAGAGATCATTTAAGGATCTTTTCAGTAACGTATGCCATTTGATTGCTTTGCTTTAGACTACTCAATTTTTTCAGTTTTGAAAACTATTTATTTGTGGTTAACAGCTGAAATTTGTTTTAATAAATTTTGCTATTGATTAATTAACCAAAAAATTATTTAATTTTTGATCAATTATTGGTCGATTTTTATATTTCAAAGCTTTTTTGGTAAAAATATTCATATTATAATTTAGTGTTGTGTATTTGCCTATCAAACCCCAGATATTGCTCTCATAAGAATTATGTTTGTTTTGGAGTATCGGTTTTTTGAACGAAAGGTTGCAGTATTCATTGGTGAACCTTAAATAATAAACAAATTATAAGGACACAGTACGGCCGACCATTAATTAACACACGAGTCTACATAATATCAGGTTCAAGAAATTTGGTACCACTGTTTTTGTAGAAAATTCCCTCAATTTGAATATGTTTTGCGGTGATAACCAGCATGACAAGCTTGAAAGTTAATATATGATGACTTGGATGAGTACTAAATCAGGATCAAAAAACGGGTTATCCTCAACTTAGGAAATTATAAACTGATCCCTATTGACCCTCTATCCATATATGTTATATATTAATCTATGTATACACACTATTGCTATCGATGTAACAATTGCATTAATAAACTATTTATATATTTTTAAAAAATAAATTGTATGAATAAAAAGCACTACTGTGAGTGCTTATAGCACTAAAAATTGTTATTAATAAAATTAGTTCAACGCTTACAATATTTTATTATATATTAAATATTTTTACTGTAAAATCTGTTATTTCGTTCTAAAACATATAAATAAGGACAAATAATCTTTTTACTGACAAGAGCAAATAATTACGAACTCTAAGGCAAACAACGTGAAAAATAGGATATTTAGAAGTGAAATAAACAAAGTTAGTTTAATGAAAATTTGAGAAAAAATTGCCTTGCTTATTAAAAAGGACACAAGACAATCGGAAAAGAAAACTTTTCGTTTCAACGGCTAAATTGGAAGATGAATTGTAAAAGTTTATCTAAAACTTTGTGGACAAATAAAAAGTAGGAATGTGTATAGAATCGCGTGCATATGTGTAGGTTGGTAGGCGCCGAGAAAACGTTTAAATATAAGGTCCCAAATGACAAACGGCACCATACAAACAAACAAGGACCATCAACGGTTTCCGTAATTCAACAACTCAACTCAGTTCGTTTGGCAGGTCTTGCGTGGTAGTCCAATTTGGGTTTGTGTGCCATTTATACTTAACCCGCATGTTTACTTTTCAGCTTGTTAGAGTGGAAACTTAAATTGCGAATCACTTCCCAAAGTACTAACTTTTGCACACATAATCCCAGCATCCAAATGGATACAACTCAAAGCAAAACTTATTATCACAATTTATACAAGTGTATCCGTTATGATGGCCTTTTAGAGCTTAACTGACAAAGAAATTGTTGCCATAACATCAAAAATTACAGATTGTTTCGCACTAGCAACCACACACGAGTGGGCCGGGACTACTGCCGCCTAAGTCGGAAAGGATGTGTTGTTAAAACTAAGGTCATAACTTTTGAATATGAAAAGGTATGCATGAAATTATGTAAACATTTTAATGCGACAGAGCTTGACAATACAATTCCGGGCATAGATTCAGTAGCATTAACAAATATGTTATATGCTCATATTAAAGTAGTTAAAAGTTTTTGCAAGCGCCCAGATACACTCACGACAACATACTATGTATGATTTCTGTGAGTTTTAAAGGCCGACCGGAGCGGGAACCGAACCCGGAGCAGGACGAGAAAGTAATAAATTTCTTTGATGGCGCTGATAATCTTCTTTGGATTTAAATGTTACGCAAACAGGCAGATAGTGAAACATTGAGATTGCCGGACGGTTGTGCTCGTACAGGTAAAAATCAGTGCACCGGTTTTTGTTGAATTTTTGCTTTTGAAAGGTTTACCCAATTTTTTTTTTATTGGCTACAAGTCCGTCACATATGCGACTTTTTATACGAGCATAGAAAAGTTGCCGGGTTGTCGTTTGTGTTGTGTGTGTATTCTGTGTGTTTGACAGATTTTTGTGCCTTTTTTGCATAATAAAGTCGTGTTTTGTGTCGTGCTATGTTGTGTAATGTGTCTGCGGCTCTGAGTTGGTATAGTCAGTTCGATTGTTTGTGGAGGGTCCGCAGAATTGAATGGGATTTATGTAATGGCTTAGCAGTGAATACGTGCGCTATCTGTTAAGGCATAACCGATATAAAATCAATTGGATACAACTTTTATGTTGTGCTCTTCCTCAGAATTTCCCATTATGAACACATTGTGGTGCCGATTTCTGGCACGTGCTCTATATTTCTATTAATTCATTTATTTTTCATTGTTGCTAAAAACCCTTACAAAAAGGTAAGAAGATTATAAAAATATTTTTTGTATATACAGAAAGCATTTTATGAATGAAGTCAAATTAAACCTTAAAAGTAGATTTAATAAAGATACTATGCCAAGTTTTTTAAAAATTGAATTTAGTATAAATGGATACGTATTAATTATACAATACAATACATCGCCTTCATTATACTTTTTATTATTTTCTTACATTCGAGTATTCGAAATGAAATACCAATTTTGGGGTATTTTTTCACTTAACTCTATACTTCACCAATAACAATTGTAAAATTGCTAGCAATGAGATACGATAACTCAATGGGACAACAGGTCCAAGTAGATTATAGTCATTACCTAACCTGACTTAAGGTCATTGTGTGTTGTAGTAAGAACTTAAAGCCACCAAAAATAGTTTAATGAAGTTATATCGCATTGACATCTATCTACCTATCTTGACGACGGCATTTCTGGGTATCATAAGATTATTAAATTCTTCTCTTAATAACGTGATTGTGCCACGAGATGTATGTCATTTCATTACTACATCTTGTTAGTTTCACTATCACTAGATGATTAAAAGCCTTGTTGAAACTACATATTGTCCAAGTTAATATCTTATTAATACTACAAACATCAATAAGGTTTCCATAGCTTTTTCCGTTGATGGTAACTATATTGTCTTTCTATTTAGCACCACAAAAAAAAATATTCGAAGTATACTTTTAGGCGATAAAACACGCCAAACTGTTATTTTTGTGAGTGCAAACGAAATTCATAAGGGATTTTTTACTCCAAATTGGGTAATTTAATTAACTAAGCTTATGATTTTCCAAATACATATTGGATGTGTTTGAATTGCTCTAAATCTCAGTCCTTAAAATTTCTACACAACAAATGATCATTTGGTTTAAGTTGTTGGAAAACTGAATGTATGATGCTACAGGAAAGGTTTTTTTATTGAGGATGGAGTGCCAATAACTTAAGTCTGGTTCTAGACTTCATACAGTACCCATTCGATTTTTGATTCTTAAAAGATTCTTTCATGTCAATATGTTTTAATAAGAGATAAGCAAACAAGAAAAAAAATAAATGCAATTGGATTAT